TTTTGAGGCCAAGGATAGCTCAGTAGCACAGTGCCTGTCTGACAAGTATGAGGTCCTGAGGTTTTACTTCCTGTTTATCCAAAGTCATTCTTCAAAGAAAATATTAGTCATTAAATCATAAAAGAAACTAACAGCAGGAAAAATTGAACTGATTATAATCTCCTAATAATTGTAACAAATTAGCTACTGATTTATTTCAAGATACTTTATGGATCAAATTTTTAAAAATAATCTGTTACAATAATACATTGATTTTCTTTTTTCCTTCTTAGCATGTCTCACTGGTAAGGAACATAATTTTAAAATGTTAATAACCTTTTCATTACTATTTTCAAATACTTTGAACAGAAATAATCAATTTTGATTCAGGTTGTAAAAATTTTGAAAGTTTCTGCTGAGCTCTTTTCTCTGAGCTCTGAACTGTTAATATCCACTTGAATAAGCTTCTCAAAATTATGACCATCAAGATATTGCTGTTCCCATAAAAGAAAATTCTACAGAGATACAAAATTCTGTGTAAAGTATATTGTTGTGTGTTACTTATAAACATATCATTAGAAACTTCAAAGACATGGTTGAATCAGATTGCACTGATGTAATTATTTTTCCACCATCATAATTATTTTCAAACAATGCCATGGAAAAATACTCTGTGTAGTATAAATGATACAAGAATACTAGAAGAAAATGTTTATTATAAGAAAAACACCTCTGCAGAAAGTAGTACTAGTTATTATGTTTGCTTGTGCTGAGTTTCATTTTTCAGATTTTATATAATGAGTACATAGTATTTTTACTCTAATACCTTTATTGCAAATTTGAAATTTTATCTTAATACTTTAAATTTTCAAAATATGGTCAGTCGTTTTCATTTGTTTACATGTTATTATTTTGCATTGCAGTGACAAACTCTTAAGTCCTAGTCAAATCCTATGGCAAAAAGAAATAAATGAACAATGAACAAATAAAACCAGTTAGTAGCTTTTCATGCTTGTGTTCAAAAGATATACAGTCACTCATAGTTGTATTTTATTTACCAAAGTAAGTCACATGGCCGTACATCATGACATTGGGCAGTGAAGTATCCCTCCATGGGGAGGGGCCTAATAGTAGTTAGCTTACACACACACACACACTCCCTCTCCTTCTCTGTCTCTCTCATACATACACAGTAATTAAATCAACTTACCGTACCTATGTAATACCTGTTTGTTTTGAATCTTTAAAATAGATACCAATTTATTCGGGCTGCCTTCTAAAGTTGTATGGGTTTTGGTACTCTGTAGAACTGTGTTTTGTATACTTGGCTATCCATATTCAATAGCCCTGAGAATTGTATGTCAAAAGAAAGGTAAATATCTTCCTTTTATTTATGAAGGCTGTTTTGCTAGTAATATTGTTTATTTAAACTGACTTCCTTATTCAGCTCTTTATTGTCTTCTGAATAAGAGCAAAAAAATTTATATTCCATCTATGTATTTGTAAATCACCTATCTAGAATTACATACCTGCTATTACTTGATAATTTTCAATGTCAATTCTCAGTGGATTTTAATTTTCTTGAGCTTATTAAGTTTTTATGACATTAGTGGATTACTTGTTGAGCAGTTGTTAATGAACAAATTTTAGTATTTAAACATTAAAATCTAAATTATAATTTATATAACTAGTACATAAAAAGTTAATATAAATAATCACTACTCATGCTTCAGTAAAAATGTCTTATACTCTGTTCTTTCTGAACTAAAGATCAGAAAGGAAATAGGATAAAGAATTATATGTACTTTGAAAATGCTTTCATAATTTCTATTTTTATTGTTAAATAGAATAAAAGCTTATAAATTGTTTAATTTTTTTGGAAGCAACCATAAGGTCCTTTGTATCGCCAATGAGATATTGATAGGTAGGTAGAAAGGAAGAAAGGGAAAGAAAGTTAAAGTTAGCTTATAAAGGTAACATTTTGTAAAACTTAATTTTCCAACCTATTACTAAGAAAAACACTTGTCTTAAGTGAAGACATTATATACACCTAGCAAGGTGTGTTACAGAAAAGTTTACTATTAGTCTTATTGGCAGCTAATTGGGCTTTTTATAAAATTTCATCCTAGAAATTGTGTGAAATAAACCTTTTAGTGTACAGTCAAAGAATTCTACATCATATATCTTTTGGTCCCATAGTAATAGATTTTAAGCACATTATTTTAATACATAGTGTTAAAGGATTCTCCAGAGAGGTTATCCCATGTATTAGCTCTTGATGTTAATCTTATTTAATTTATTATTTTGCTAGAAATATAGCATCTGAGGGTTATTCATATTTCTATATTACCCATTCATATTTTCATTTTCTATTAATTACCTGCTCATATTCCTGGCTAACTTTTCTTTCAGGTTGTGTTAATGTAGTTAGAGTTTCCTCTGTAAATTGGCTTCTGCCACGGAAACTAGTATACTCACTATACTCTCTTCTTTCTCCTCTTACCAAAACATCAGTGAACTTATTTCACATGTTAACCTTTTCTTGATTTCACCTCCTTCATTGCTCTTCATAACAAATTTCAGTCCTGGTTTTCTCCTACTTCTCAAGCTATTTTTCCTTTAATGGCTCTTTTCTCCTACCATTATCACTTAATCTCTCTTCATAGTTTGTTTCTCTTGATCTTTTTCGTGGCCATAGTTTTGATTTTAGTACTACTGAGGTTCATCTGTATGTTTGCAATGGGAGGAAAGACTGAATTACAGTGAGGAGCTAGAAAAAGCAAGAATGTATTTTTTCCAATTAATGTTCTTACTTGCTGAATTGTATCTAGCCTCATGAGTCCATAGACCTCAGGATGAATACCCTTGTAAGACATGTTTTCTGCTACCTCCTGCTTATCATCACCTGCATTTCTCATCTTCATTGCAGGCACTGCCATAACTTTGCTTGAATGCCAGCTGTTTGCTGACAGAATATTATATGCTTTCTCCTGTTGTCTCCATTCTAGAGATATAGAAACATTTTGCTTCCTAAGATTAAGTTTGCCAAAGATCATAAAGCTTACAAGTATGGAAGCTGAATCCAAGATTGTGTTACTAGTTATTATACCATTTTTTTTGTCCCCTACTCTCCCACCATCCATCCCTAAATTCAGTTCCCTGTTTGATGGCACCACTTTCCACTGAAACCAAAAAAAACTGAGACAAATCCCAGATCCTTCCTATTGTTTTCATACAGTCTATTACCAAATTGTTCCATTTATTTTCCTAAAATTTTCTTAAAACTACTATTCTCTTCTGTCTACTGAAACAAATATTTTAAGTTTTACTTCAGTATTTTTGAACGGTTTTTCTTTTACTCTCTTAGGTTCTTAGTTATTTTCTTGTTGCTGAGACAGAAATTCCCAACACCCAGAGTTAAAGGGGAAAGTTATTTTGGTTCCCAGTTAGTAGAGGTTTCCTTCTATAGTCACCGGCTGACTCTGAGGCAGGGTGGCAAGGCAGCGCAGCATTACAGAGGAAAAAGTCCGTTGCAGAACAGGCAGAAGACAGCAGCAATGCAGCAAGCCTCCCTTTCCCTTTTATCACATCCAGGGTACAGATCTTTTGGATGATGCTCCCCCACCCAGGGTGGGACTTCCATTGTCCACACCCAGATCTGTGCTATCACACATGTTAATCCCAGTGCCACACACTCACGATCCAGCCATTTCCCTAGCAGCCTTCCTCAGTGCTTCTAGGTATAAGCCAAAATGCCCAGCTATCCTTTCCACTTCTATTTTTGTGTTCCCTTGACACACTCTCCAAATATGCTGTCCCATATAAAAGATGGTTTTCTGCTTTCTTTTTTAAAATTTTTTAGTAACTCTGCATTATCGAAAGGCAGAATCTTTTATTAAATTCCTACATGCAGACTCTCACTTTCTCATAACTCACACAATAGTTATACCCTCATGCCTGTGTATTTTTGTATTTTTTACCTATTCTTTTCCATCCAGAATCCCTTACTAGCTAGCAAACTTACTCTCCAGCTCCAAGCTCAGTTCAAACATTATCTAGGTGAAGTATTTCTAATTCCTTATTCCCACCATATTATGTGATGTCAGATTCATTATAAGTTTTAGGTACCTCACATGTAAACTAGTATTAAGATAATTCTTGGGCTGGTGAGATGGCTCAGTGGTCTAAAGCACCTACTTAGAACAAGCTTAGCAAAGCACAGGGACCACGGTTCGATCCCCCAGCACCACATGCCAGCCTGCCCCACCCCCTGGTGGGCTGAGCTGGCCACACACACACACACACACACAC